AGAGGCCTGGTAACGAACTAATCATGTGATTCAGGTGTGTTGACCCAAGGTGAGATCTAAAACCTGCAGGGACACCGGCCCTCATGGACTGAGATTGCCCACCCCTGTCATAGGGGGTTGCCTGATTTTTGAGGGTGCTCTGTATTATTGTAGTATCTTTACAATATTAAGCACATTGAGGCAACTGTTGTTATGATTTGAGTATTAGTTTGCTCAACTTTGAGGTTTAAAAAGCTTTTTTCCCCACCTAAATTGTACTTATGCCGTTTGTGCACAAGGTTTCACTAGATACAAATAGTTTTTAATCTGGCTGAAGTTGGTAACACAAGCTGAACTGCTCATACAGATAGATAATTTGCTGGTTACCTAGCAATAGCAGCTAGCTGGCTAATCCTAGCTTGATAAAAAAAAAGAAGTTTTATTGTAAATTTAAGTGCGTTTTCTGTTTGCCTGCTAACCTTTAAGCAGTGCAAAATCTTCTATTAATTGTTCCATTTAAGCAGCAGCTTAGTTCTTCAACTTAAACTGAAAATTATTCCCAATTCTTCATTCTGCAAACAACATAGTCGCTAACTGTAGCTACCCTGTCACACCAGAAGGAGTCTTCTGTATAAACACACCCTTGAAATATTTCTGCACCAAAAAAATCCCCGTATAAAAGATTTATAGCCTCCTTCTGACCATATTCCCAAAGCACACTAAAAGAGAACATCAACTTTTACAGTCAAAAACATGCATACACAGTCACAGGCTTCACCTTTTCCTAAACACGCACACCACCTTCCCCTTAACTGCTGTTGTTGGAAGTAACACATTCCCTGCTGCTCTGAACTGTGGGCACCATTCAGGACAGGTGGAGAGACAGAATAGGGTGGTGCGAGCACTCCAAATGATTGTGCTATAAAGTTAGAAAATGGATTGCAGGGTGGAAAGAAGATGGTTCATTTTCCCAGTGTTCATCAACCTGTTTTATTCATGAATGTTTGAGGAAGGTGTGATGCCTTTAATCAGAGTTTGTTTGAGTTTAGTGCATGAGGCAAGAAGTTGTGAGGGTTTCTGGGAAGGTGTTACCGACTCAGGTGTCCTAAAGGTGAAACAGAGGTGAACTGAGAAAGGTGGCGAAAAAGAACTACAAAGAGAGGGAAGAGAAAGGAGTGGAAGTAGCAGCTTAAGAGGGAAAGAATGGCATGAGAGAAGGAGATGTGGAAGAATTTAAGAGCAGTAATGTTTAGGAGAGAAGTAGGAAGGAAGGACTGGAAAAAGAAATAAGTTAGACCTGGTATAACAAGCTAATGCACTCTCTTAGCCGTTTTCCTGGCCTGGTGCTGCATGGGTTGCAGGGTAATGTGTTGAGGGTGCTCAGCAGACACTGCAGGTGAGCCATCTGCTCTGCAGTCTGAAAGGCACAGCTGGCGTCTGTCAAGGATGCTGTTGAGTGTCTCACGTGTAAGCAGGGATGTGTGCGAGTGTTTTTTTTCCTTCTCCTCACAATGCTTCTGTGGGTTAATTGGCAGCCTCATTTCTGAGCTGTGGTGCAGCTCTTGACCAGTTTGACTGACAGCTTTGATGAAGAGAATTAGAAGTGACTGAGCTCTGATGTTATGAAGCTTGCTGTTAAACCTCAGCTCTGCCAATCCATCGTTTTATTTAGCATCAAACTGAATCCCAGTGTGAGGACAGTTTGGGCTAACTGAGGCCACGCTGTCCCAACTGTTTTGTCAGGAGAAAATGATGATGACATGCAGTATCAGTAGTTTAGGGTTATTACTTGTAGTCATCGCAAATACAATAACACCAGAACCAGAAGAGCTGAATTGGTAGTAACTATAAAAACAGCAATTTTACTATTAGAGCTGTATTACTACTAAATATGTATATTTAACAGGCTTCTTTCACTGAATACAGAAACCTGTTAATGTTATGTTTGCGGCGGCAGAATATATTCCAGCTCTGTAGCCAACACAAATATTACGAATATTATTTTGTATAAATAATGAGTCGAATGGTTAATGTGTGATCTGCATGTGGCCTGCAGACGAAATCAAACTGCAGCTGCTGGATTTAATGGAGTCTGTTCTGCAGAGGTGGCTGAGCTTGGCAAGGGTGATCATCACCACGCTAGGAAATAAACTACGTGTTCTTTTAAAAAAATGTTTTTAATTAAATTTTTTGGTCATCTATTCTTTCCCCCCTCTCTCCTTTTCTTCTTGCCAATTTCAGTCCCCCTTCTGTGTCTTCCCCACGTCAAGCCAAAATGTATTCACAATACATTTCTGTCACCAACAGCCTTACAGAGGAACAGACGTGATGAATACAGATTAAAACTGAGAGGAAAAACTTTTCCTTCACAGTGCTGAGCAGCATGGGCTGATGATCAACTTAATAAACAAAAACAAAACAAGGACAGTTTTTGTTGAGCTTTCTTTCATCTATTTCACTAATTTAATCACTTTCCCCCTTTCTCTCGTTTCCTTTCTGGAAACAGTGCATGTAGTTAGTAAAAAACAGAAACGTGCAGCCGTCTATCTTGGACTGCTGTTACAAACATCGCTGACAGTTAGAGATTTGCTTGACAGGACAAACTTTTCTCTAATTAACTAATAAATCGGACTCACACTGGAGAAAGAACCAGGAGAATTTTAGCTTTCTTTGGAATTCTTGCATATATAAAATTTTCTGCTAATTCAAATCAGTATTAAAGGAAACCTGCAGCATTATGCTTTCCTTTAGTTCATGTCAATGCCACAATGTTGATATGAAACTGGTTTCCCAATGTCTCCAGTGTCTTTCACTTCATGCAATAGCAGGTCCAGCAGTACAGTTAGTATGGCTCACCCGGCTGCCCTTAGCAGAATTCCAGGAATTGGCTAATGAAGTGAAAATGGGCTTTTATGGAGGGATTTCTTAAATAGACAACAGATAAAAATGACTTGTTTCTGAGAGACAATCAACTAAGAGCCCAGAGATAGAAATAAAAACAAAACAAAAACTTACCCTTATGCATTCTCAGAGTTTAAAAAAAGAGCTGGAAATGCATAAACAAAACTGGCAGTTCAATATTTACAAGTTTTTAACACACAAAGATGCCAAAGAGCTGGAAAATCACTTATTAATTCATGTTATTAGTAAAATGTACACTTAAATATACAAAAGCCACAGATGTCTGAAGCATTAACCTGTTTTTTCCCCATACTGTACATTTACTGTTGTATTTTGTTTTGACTAAGGGTGCTTTTGATGAAGAACTGAAGTCTAATCATATTGCTGTTTCCATCTGCAAAACCACCTCCAGGTTTTGCAGCTAAACTCTGACATCCTCCCGCAGTACAAGCAGGAAGCCCCCAAGACACCACCTCACATAATACTTCACTACTGCACCTTCAAGACCACTTGGGACTGGGTCATCCTCATCCTCACCTTCTACACGGCCATCATGGTGCCCTACAATGTCTCTTTTAAGACCAAGCAGAACAACATTGTTTGGCTGGTGCTAGACAGCGTAGTCGACGTCATCTTCCTGGTGGATATCGTTCTCAACTTCCACACCACCTTCGTGGGGCCCGGTGGAGAGGTGATCTCTGACCCCAAACTCATTCGGATGAACTATCTGAAGACTTGGTTCGTCATCGACCTGCTGTCGTGCCTGCCCTATGACATCATCAATGCCTTTGAGAATGTGGATGAGGTAAGTTTGGGCATTTCTACCGTTGTTAGAGGTGCAATTACCTAGAATTCTCACAAACCTAAATCTCAATTCAGCCCTGAAAGTGGCCAACAACATTAAAACCACCCGTCTAAATATTGTGTAGCTGCCTCTTGTGCTTCCAAAGCTGCTCCGATCCATCAAGGTATGTTCTCCATTAGACCTGTTACGGTGACGTTGTTGTACTAATTACCAAGATGCTAGCAGCATATCTTTTAAGCCAGGGGTCCCCAATCTCAGTCCACGAGGGCCAGTGTCCCTGCAGGTTTTAGATCTCACCTTGGGTCAACACACCTGAATCACATGATTAGCTCATTACCAAGTCTCTGGAGAACCTTAAGACATGTTGAGAAGGTAATTTATCCATTTAAATCAGCTGTGATGG